GGAGGCTGAGGCAGGAGGATCGCTTGAGCCCAGGAGTTTGAGGTTGCTGTGAGCTAGGCTGACGCCACGGCACTCTAGCCCGGGCAACAGAGCAAGACACTGTCTCAAAAAAAAAAAAAAAGTCAGGATAACAGAATTCCATTTAATCGCATAATTCTAAAGGACGTGTGGCCCAGCACTAGTGAGCATTTCTCCTTTAAACCTCCAGCCCCCAGCATATCTGTGACCCTAAGCCCTTAATACCAACTTCCTCCAAATTATTTTTTCCACTCTTAGAGTTTTCTGTTTGGGGGTTATGCCCAGCGGTTTGAATTCTCTCATTTAGGCCCCAGGAAATTAGAAAGAAGTTATTAACTTTAGGGCAGGCAGATAATGGAAAATCCTTAAATACTAGTCTCAGGTTTACCTAGTGCGGGTGGTTAACTGCCTAATCAAACTGAAGAGCAATTAGATAATTTTTAAGAATCAGTCTTTTAAGATTAATAAACAGAATGTGGGTTGAGGAGTACTCGTTTAAAATCTCGAAAATGAGAAATGTTCCATCGGAAAGGTAGATGCCATTGTCTCTTTCTCTTTCTGCTCTGATGTAGCAAGTGCTAAGCTCAGACCTGAGTATTGACAGACCCATGGGCGTGGCTCTGACGAAATCAGCCCAGTGGACTGCCGCTGGTTATGGTACTGGAACCCTGGAAATTACCCCTCTAAATGAAGCGATACTGAAAGAAATTATTATGTTTGTGGAGAGTTTTATCTACAAGCATCCCAAAGAGGCAAAGTATGTTTTTGTAGAACCACTAGAATGGAAAACAAGTTTGGATCTCTCAGCATTTGAATCAGGCTATGTTGTCAGGTAAGCCAGTTAATTGCTGCTAAGATTTATTTTAGGTTATTAAGTATGAAACATCTGATTTCCTTAAGGACTAAGTTTGACAGTTGATATCTCTGACATTTCACTTTGACACTTCCTGTTTTATGTTTATTGTGAAGGTACATCCTCCTTTTTTCAAATGCACATTTTGGCTTGTGACTATCTTTTTATAGAGTAATTTTTGTGAAACCATGGATAAGTCAAAAATTCATGTTATTTTCAAATATGAGTTCCATCATGGAACCAATGCAGTGAAGACAGCTCGAGTATCAATGAAGTGTTTGGGAAGGATGTGGCTAATGAACACACAGCATGTTGATGGTTTGAGAAGTTCCGTTCTGGTGATTGTAATCTTGAAAATGAGCCACGTGGGTCACCTGACACTAGGGTGGATGATGATGAGCTGAAGCTATAGGGGAAGTGAATCCATCTCAACCGATGTGGAAATTAGCAGCAAGGTTTGACACTACTATTCCAACAATATTGGACCTTTTGAAACAAATGGGCAAGGTAGAGAAGCTGGATAGATGGGTTCCACGTGAATTAAATGAGCATCAGAAGAGAAATTGTCTCAAAGCTTGCCTTTCTCTGCTGTCATGACATGAAAGCGAACCATTCTACACCAAATTGTTACATGTGATGAAAAATGGATTCTTTTTGACAATCCCAAGAGTTCAGCACAATGGTCGGATAAAGATAAAGTGCCAAACCCAGTCCAAAACCAAATATTCATAAACAAAAGCTAATGGTGTCTGTTTGGTGGTCCAGTGCTGGTATTATCCACTACAGCTTCATGAAACCTGGTCAATGGATTACAGTGGATGTCTACTGCAACCAATTGGATGAAATGATGAGGATGCTTGCGATTAAGCAGCCAAGACTGGTCAACAGAGACAGGCCAATCCTCTTGCAAGATCACATGTCGCACAAACAATGCTGCTCAAACTACAGAGGCTGGACTTGGAAACTCTCTGCCATCCCCCGTATTCACCAGACCGTGGACCAACTGACTACCACTTCTTCCAGGCTTTGGACCACTTCTTGCAAGGAAAAACATTTAATTCTCAACAAGCTGTGGAAAACGCCTTTCGTGATTTCATAGACATCCACGCTCCAGGCTTTGCTGCTGGCATGAACGAGCTACCGTTAAGATGGCAGAACTGTGTCAATAGTTGAGGCACATACTTTGATTAATTGTACTGCTTCTTGAGATATAATAAACTAAACTTTTGATTTGAAATCGGACATTCATATTTAATTACCTGTATAATATCTTCATTGTGCAGATTTTGATTGATTGGTTGTAGGTTTGGGGCAAGTCACTTCACTTCTCTGCATCTCAGAATTCCTTAAAGCGAGGATTGCAAGCCAGAGGCACTCGGGTGAAATCAGAAGATATTTAGCTTGGCCAACACAGTACCTATTGAATTTTTAAATTTCAATTTCAATTTCTTTTGATAAGGGATACATTCTGTAGGTCACTACACTGCCTACGTTCATTGCTACTTTATACCTGCCCTTCCATCCAAGAGCCTTTGGTTTTGTGACCTCTCATAGAGACAAAAATCTCTTTTGGTATTTAAACTGATCAGTTACTGGGGTGGCTGCGGGGAGGGTGATAAATTTTGCTTGATATAGACACTTCTTAAGAATTAGTGCTGTCCTCAAATGAGAACCTTTCAAATCTGAGATTAAAAAAAAGAAATTCTATCCCCACCTCAAACAGTGGGCTATCATTTGATGTCTTTTGACCATTGCTAAAAATATATGTTTACATAAATTAT